AATTCCGGTGTTTTTAAAATATTTTGTTGTGTTGTGGTGGTCATGAAACTGTTAAAGGAGAAGATGGGAACATGTTGGTGCTTTGACCCTACAAGAAAGAACTCAACAAATGTCCACTGACCAGAGATTAAGTCTTAATCACCATGTAGACTGCACATATTCTTAAAAACTATATTTTTAAACACATATTTTTAAAAACTATAGCTGCTTGTAATCTATACCTCATCTCATTCTGGTTTAAACAGGCCATGAAATGCATAGCTTACTAGCTGTCTTTAGGGAAAATTTTTAGGTGTAAAGTATGTCAAGCCAGGATTAATTACACACAGCTACGGATTTCCCCTTTCTCGTGGTGTGGTTACTTCTCTCACCGAGCGTCTCCTCTGCCTTGTTTCATTAGTGGTCCTTTGGTGTGCTTCTCTGGGAGCTGATGACAAGAGGAGCCCCTCCTTATCCCGATGTGAACACCTTTGATATCACTATCTACTTGCTGCAAGGCAGAAGGCTCTTGCAACCAGAATACTGTCCAGACCCCTTGTAAGTAAGAATGTCGGTGAGGTCTTTCATGTATCTAAAGCTCATGACTTTTACAGAAACGCTTGCTTTCGTGTCTCTCACATCATCTTTCTGAAACAGGTATGAAGTGATGCTAAAATGCTGGCACCCGAAAGCTGAAATGCGTCCATCCTTTTCTGAACTGGTCTCCAGGATATCCTCAATCTTCTCCACTTTCATCGGGGAGCATTACGTCCATGTGAACGCTACCTATGTGAATGTCAAATGTGTTGCTCCGTACCCTTCTCTGTTGCCTTCCCAAGACAACGTTGATGGCGAGGTGAACACATGATGGAGGCCTGCCAGCCCCCTTCTGAGAAACAGAGCCAGCCCAAACAACAATCTATACCTTCTCCAACAGTTCTCACTGCCTGGCCTTTGAGAGGTCACCCAACGTCTCTGTTGTTATTGTTCTGTTTTTATTTTTGTTCTGCTTTTGCCAAAACTGCACCACTATGAGGCATTAACTCGCTGCTTAAATCCCTGAACTCTGAGGAATTTCTCCTCTGACAATGCACCAGAAAGAGAAGCCTGGCCCCACAGGTTGGTCGTCAATGGCAGCCAGCAGCTTCGACAACACTCCTGCTCATCGGAGTCTGAAATCTCAGTGCTGGGTTGAAGTTTTTAAAATCACTTTTTTTTTTGTGAGGAAATGATACAATGAAGTTTGAAGATTTCTCATAGAAAACTCAGAAGAGATGACCTCGTGCAGGACAAATGTGGTGGCTCCATCAGGCTGCTTGTTGGAATTCCGGTGTTTTTAAAATATTTTGTTGTGTTGTGGTGGTCATGAACATTTTCCATTTCTGACGCTGTCTACCCATCAGGCAAACATTCCTTTTTAAACTTTTATATACACATTCCTTTGGTTGGAGGAATATCCACAGACAATGCACTTATTTCCAAAATAGCATGACATGAGGTGTGTTTTCTAAATTATCAGGGATTTTATGTATTGTACATAAATGACAATAGGGAGATTTTTCAAGAAATAACTTTGTTACAGTAAAATATTCATCTTTTAAAACGTGGCTGTTTAGCAAGGAATGGTGGCTCACACCTGTAACCCAGCATTAGGGATGCTGAGGCAGGCAGACTATCACAAGTTTGAAACCAACCTTGGCCACATAATGATTTACAGTCCAGCATGGTCTGCAGTGTGAGATCCTGTCCCAACAAACAAAAATTTGAGAAAGTTTTTTTTTTCCGATATAATGAATGTGAACAATTAAATTTTTATCTGTTTTTTAATGCAACTCTGAAAACAAGTAACTTGTGGTGATAAATCTTTTTAAAAGCAACTCAATATGTTTTTAAAGGACAATAAAACTGTCTGAAAGATTCAGTATTTCCAGCATTTCTTTGTTTAGAACAAAGAAAGGGTCAATGGACTAGAAATATCTTTCTCAGGTGGAGACTTCTCACCTAAAACAATTGGAAACAACACTTTTTGGGGAGTCTCTTTTTTTGCATTGGGACATATTTTAGGTTAAGCAAAAGCCTATTTTAGAAACAAGTGAAAAGTCAGTTGAACATCTTGGATGAATAGCTACTCTGGACAGGACTTTGGACGTGTTTTGCTCTGTGGAACTTTGTGCTTACTACTGTATAGTGCATGTGGCTTAGGTTACTTTAGCTGGTTTTGTCTGCGTAAACATTGAAAGTATTATATTTTTATAGAAATGTTTATTTTTAATGATGTAAAAAATTTTCGTTAAGCCACAGAAATACTGCACTGTGAATGTTTCAAAAGAGGTATGTGAGACTTGGATCAACAGCAGCGTGATTTTTTTTTAAATGGCTGTAAATTGTGATAAGGAAATGCACTGATTGCCAGTACACCCCACCCTCATTACGTCATCAGGACTTGAAGCCAAGGGTTAATAGAGCAAGCTATGACATGGGTGTGCTCTGCTGAAACGAAATAGTTGAATCTGGCTGTCGTTGCAGGAAAATGATGGCAATCAACAGGTCTTTATGGTGTTGGAACATATCAGAACACATAAGGAACTGTAGTCCAGATTTATTTCAAATCAAATGTTACCACTTCATAATTATGAAGGGTATTACTGAGTCACAGAGCACTGTCAATGGTGGACAGCAAGAAAAAGATCTGCTCTTTAGGAAGAAGTTAACTGTCCTTATGAGGTCAAGAAAAGGAATACATTAAGAACAGAAAGAGCTTTGAGAAACACCTATACTTGTATATTATACATACTAGAAAGCTGCAATGTGAAAATCATGTTTTCTATTTATGAACCTTCCTAGGGTAATGTGTGGACAGATTGTGTGAGTAAATCATTCTCCTAAGAGTTATATACTTGTCACTGCCTATACCTGCAGTTGAGTTGAATGGTACTTTGTATGTTAATAATTGTTCTGATAAATCATACAGTTAAAATAAAGTGACGTGACATCTTGTATACTGTGAGTCGGTTATAGCTAGTCATGCCTGATTAGCTACCTCATTTACATAATTGATTTCATCTGGCTCCATGGCACTCCTCCATAGTCCAGATGTTGATTCTATAATGTAAGGGCAGTAGCTTCCTAGATTTGCATGCCTGACTCTCTGGAGGTCTCTGTTTTGCTAAGGATGGTTTGTCCTGAGATTTTAATTCCTTGCATTTTTCTGGCAATCCTTCTCCTGCTAGAGCATTTTGTTCTGTTTTAACTTGGGGCTCTTCTCCAGCAAAACGAATATCCTGAGCCAGAAGGCATGACAAAGGAGCTGTAAGGCACAGTTTACAGGAAGATAGATACCCAAGTGGCCGTTGGAAAGAGATGTCTTTTTGCCCCTCTAAAATCCCCCCCTTTTTTTATATGCACATGCACCCACCCTTTGGGACCTTTAGTTATCATAGAAACTACATTCAGCTTATCCCTACATTCCCATAATGATAAAGGAACTCAAAGATGGCATTTCAGCCATCTAAGAATTGTGTAGCATTATGGGGATATTTGATTCTTTAAAAATCCAAGTTTATACTGATGTTGATAAAAATGCAGTAGGGGCTAATTCTTTATTTCCTGTACGCACCCAGGCTTCTAGCCAAGAGATGCTGTCCCACACAAAGTTCATTCATTCCTCTGTCTTTTGAAGGCAGAATCCTGTCATCCTTGTATCCCTAGTATTTGATACTTAGAATTACTGGACTGAACCAGCAGTTACATTTCCTGTTGCCACTTTAAACCAGGAAGAAAAATTCATACCTTTGTATCTCCTGTGACATTTGGTGGACACCAACGCAGGAAATGTGAGTAGGAACCTTCTGAAGAAAGAGATTGTCGTCTTAGTTAGAGTTTCTATTGCTGTGATAAAACACCATGACCAAAGCCAACTTGTGGAAGAAAGGGTATGTTTTAGCTTACAGTTATATATTACAGTAAAAGGAAGCCAAGGCAGGGAAGCAAATAGGGCAGGAACTAAAGCAGAAGCCAGGAGGAGGGTGGCTCACTGGCTTGCTCTTCATGGCTTTGCTCAGTTTCCTTTTGTGTAGCTTCTAGACCACCAGCCCAGAGGTGGCATTGCCCACAGTAAACTGGGTTCTCCCACATCAGTCATCATTCAAGAAAATGCACCCCAGTCTCAGTCTTGCCCATTCCTCAGTGGCAACATTCTCCTCCTTCCCAGCTGACTCTTGCTTGTGTCAAGTTGACATTGAAGTGGCCAGCAACAGCAACATGGGCTGGTAGAAAGCTCAGTGGTTGGAATGCTTGTCTCACAAACGTGAGGACTAGAGTTCGGATGCTGGGAACCCACAGAAATGTCAGGCAAGCATGGCAAGCATGGCAAGCAGCCTCTAACTACAGCTCCTGAAGGCGGAGATAGGGGATCTCCAAAACAAGCCTTTTAGCAAGATTTGGGTAATGGAAATCCTGCCCTAAAAGTAATATAGGCAATGTGCTGTCTAGTTTTAGTTCAACTTGGCACAAGCTAGAGTCATCTGAGAAGAGGGAACCTCAGCCAAGAAGATGCCCTACAAATTGGCCTGTGGGCAAGCCTGTGGTACATTTTCCTAACTGGTAATTGATGGTGTGTGGTCCCAAGCTGCTGGGGATAGTGACACTCCTGGGCCCATGGTCCTGGATGGTATAAGAAAACAAATTGACAGAGGTCCACTTACCGGTCAGGTTGGCACCTCTGCAATGAGCAAGTAAGTATGTGGTGGAGAGAAAGAGAAACGGAGCAGTTCAAGCACTACGAAGGGAGGTGGGGCTGCTACAGTGGTGAGGACCAGCCTGTGCTGATGCCTGAGGCCATGGTGGTGTCCAGGCCCTTGCTGCCACCGAGGGCCATGTCTGGGTGGCAGGCGTCTATGTCTATGTCTGTGGCCCATGTTGCCACTAAAGCCCATATGGGCATCCATGGTCTAGGCAGCTGCCTGGGGCCATGTTGATGTTTAATGGCTGTGATGCACTGGCCCCACCCCTCACCAGCTGGCCCCACCCCTCGACTTTGCAGTGAGAGAGAGCTGGCCCTGGTGATGTGGGTGTGGGAGAGCTGATCCTGCCCATCGCCTTGGCAAAGCAGAATAGCCAGCTGGCTAACCAATTCAGCTACCACCCAGGCCCAGAGCCAGGGCTTTGAGCTGGTCCACCCCAACATCTGCCCCTTCTGTGAGCTGCTGGAACATGTGAAGGGGCCGACACTGCAGAACCAAAGCTGCAAGATCTCCATGACACAGGGAAACAAGATATCTGAGAGGACTCCCCAGTGAGGATCCAGTATTGATGATATAGCAGAATACAGAGGCCTAAACCAAACCAATGACTCATTGCACTGAACATTTGCAAGCAACACTGGGCAAGAGAATAGACTGTGGGACACACTGTGACACACCACTTTTCATGGCAATATTTTTTTCATTTGGATAGAAGGTGACAAGGGCAGAGGGTAAATATGGAGGGACTGGAAGATGAGTGGGATTGGGGTGCATGGTGTGAAATTCACAAGGAATCAACAAAAAAATTTAAAAGAAAAAACAAACTGAACAAGCCATGAGCAGACCAATCAGCAGCACTCCTCCATGGCTTCTGCTTCAGTTTCAGCCTCAGATTCCTACCATGATTGAAATGCTGTGCTGCTGTCTTCCCTTGGTGATGGACTGTAATATGGCACTGTGAGTTTCTCCCCAAAGTACTCTTGGTCATGATACTTTATCATAGCAATGGAAATGCTAAGTATGATAGACAGTGATAAAGGGTAATTCCCAACATCAATCACAGGCCTCCATGTGCACGCATGCCCATTCCAAAGTACACACCCATGCAAAACATGCACAGATATACACACCACATGTACACACTCATGAAAATATAAAAAGATGGAAGAACAAGAGCTCCACAAGGAGAGCAACAGAACCAAGAAATCTGGGCCCAGGGGTCTTTTCTGAGACTAATACTTCAACCAAGGACCATGCATGGAGATAACCTAGAACCACTGCACAGATGTAGCCCATGGCAGCTTAGTATCCAAGTAAGTACCCTAGTAAGGGGAACAGGGACTCTCTCTGACAGGAACTCAGTGTCTGGCTCTTTGATCACCTCCCTTTGAGGGGGGGGCAGGGCTGCCTTAACAGACCACAGAGGAAGACAATGCAGCCAGTCCTGATGAGACCTGATAGGTGAGGGTTGGATGAAAGGGGAGGAGGACCTCTCCTAACAGTGGACTGGGGGAGAGTCAGGGGAGGAGAAGAGGGAGGAAGGGCAGGATTGGGAAGGGATGAGAGAGGGGGGCTATAGATGGGATACAAAGTGAATAAATTGTAATAAATTAAAAAATAAAAATAAAAAATTTAATTTAAAAAAGAAAAATAAGATGTATTTGCATAGCAATATTTGATTGTAGGAATGTATTTTCATCTCATGATGCAAACATCAAATGTATTTTTACTCTTTGACAGGGCAGATTCCATCCTTGGGGGGAAAAAGGAGGAGATACATAACCTGTATAAATATAGCAAATGTTCAGATGATGACATCTCCCCCATTTATTTCAGAAAATAACAGCAATATGATAACAAAGAAATTGATTGTTATTTACTTCAACAATATGTATCAAGCAGCTTCTGTGTCAGGTACTTTTAGGTAATGGAGCTATAAAACTGTCCTTATTCCAAGGAATAATGGGTAAGACAGAGAAAAATACACAGTCGGTGACTTTTACACTTTGGCTTTTCATAGCTCTGCAACACACCTTCAAGATGCTTCACAGTTAAACAATGAAAATGGTAGGCTTTGGGACAATGGGACCAAACTCTGACTCAACCTACAGTCATGTATGGAACCTACCTGATCCTTCATCTGTCAGACAGACTGGTCCTGCTTAACTCACAACATCATTTCGGGACTCAAAATGAGTGCGTGAAACACCTGGTGTTCGCTGCTGTTGAGTAATTGCAATATTATTATGATCTTCAGTCTTGGACAAAAAAAAAAAAAGCCCACAGAGGGGTAGCATGTAATTGGCTTACAAGTGTTGAAATGCAAATCTTCATCTCACTTTGTGATTCTACCTCACCCTTGAGCACAGGTAGATGAGAGAGTGAAGGAGCGAATGAAAAGCATGACAATGACAAAACAGTGGACATGGGGTGGCATTTTCACTCCAGGGCAGGACCCCTGCATGACGTCACCACGCCACGCTTCTCTGAAGCCCTGCTGCTCTCTAACACTCTGACAGTTGCAAATTTCCCTTTTTCTTGTTTAATCCTCAGTCCTAGAATCCACAAAAGGCACAAAAAGCTAACAACCCATATGAAATTTTAGGAGTTTTGCATGCGGTTCAAGGATGGAGTCACAGTTCCCACACTGGTGCCTAAAGATTGTTAATGTTTTCATCCTGCTCAAGTGGGTTTTTACTGACTATTCAGGTTCAGGCAAAGCAGCTTATGCCCTGGGTTGTTTTAGTGTATGCCACAGGTTGGGAGCCTAAGGAATACTTCGTAGGCATTCTTCTCCGTCCAGATGACTACACACAGGGAGCTACAAAGACGCGACTCACGTCTGGCACCTTCGATGATGTTGTGACACAGAAAGACATGCGGACATTGTACCTCAAAGGAAACAGCACCTACTGCTGGGCTCCCTTATCAAATCTGACCTTTTTCTCCAGGACTATCTTAATTCCCTATCTATCACAAAATGGAGAAAAGCTCCAGTCCTGGCCAGTGAAATATTTCAGTTGGTGAATTGAAGGTAATAAAACAGAGGCTGCCCAAACTGTCCTTTGTTGTAAATCACAGCAGAGGTCTAGATTACATCAGCCAAAGGGTATTGATCACAACGCTGAGAGGTTTATAACTACTATTGACTTAGCATGCGACCCTGGAGCAGAAATCTAGGAAAATTGCAAAAGCATACCTATGGTAATGAAAAGTCTATCATTAACAGGGCTTACTGTCCTGTCATCCAGCTAGGA